ATTGTAATAGTCCAAGTTCACCGCCAGCAAATATTGTCGTTCTTGGACTTTCCCTTTCAGGGTTTCCCTCAAAGTTTTCAAAAACCATATGCTATGAAGAGATTTTCACACCCTTGTAAAAAATGTTTCATTTCTCTCTCCAATCGATGTGAGATCTCACAATCCACCCCTTCTCGAGGCTCAGCGTCTTCACTTACACTTATTCCACTCTCCAATTAATATGGGATCTGACATGAATAGTTTAAGATGATTGAATTAGTATAATAAATCAGCCCATCTTTTAAAATAAAAGTTTGATAACTAAGAACATATGATTGATGAGTAGTGCATGTGACCTCCTAGCTTTAACCCCATCTATAGCCAACCAGGATAACCCTTTACCCTAAGTATAATATATAATTAAACCCACCTTTAAACTCATAATTTATTCTCTAATTATAATTATCTTCCATAAAGTTTACATAGAAGACAAGAACGGAAGAATCTCTTACATAGAATTTAAATTATGTTTGTTCTTCCAAAGAAATCTGAGTTTATAACGTGTTCATCAAATTTTGCATCCGTACAATGAAAAAACAAAACAAAAAAAAAAACCTAATAATTTGGAGTGAAAACTTAGAGATTCATGAATGTTAGAACCAAAATCAGGACATGATATCCATATTGTCCGGTTTTGTTGCCAAAAATATGGACAAGCTGACACACATAATTCATCAATCTCCCCTATAAATGTGTTGTATGAGTAATGTAATGACGTTGAGAAGGGGACGATGGCTTGTGTGTTTGTAAATGATATCCATTGAACTTGGAAAGTGGGGGAGGAATAATCCAGGTTGTGATTATATGAGGGAGGGGGGCTGTGGAAGATGGTGTGAAAATCATGTGGATGCATGTGCTTTGAGTTGGACAACATGCCCACCCCACCATTCTTAGTCTTTAATTATGTTTTTAACCTAACTACGGTTACTAGATATTGTCTGTTTTAGTCCATTACGTGTCTGTTATGGAGAGGTTTCTACGTATTTGTAAGAAATACTTCGTTTTCTTCTCCAATCGATGTTGAATCTCTCATATTCCCTCAGCCTATTATTACAATCGAAGTGTCATTGTCTATTGAGACAAGGCGAAAACGAATACTCGTGGATATCGAAGGTGTCCTTGGGGTGATCTCGGTGGAGACGATGGGGTCGGTCCATGAATTTTCCTTCCTTTTGTCGCATTTCGCTTAAAGGGTTGAAGGGAGATACTGTCTCAAGCTGTTCACAAGAGCCAACCTGATCCTCTTCTCCAGAGATCCCAAATGAGGGAACCCTAAGAGAGTTGGCAACTTTAACTACCGTCCATGTACGATCCATATTAGATCTAACCATCTGCCCATCCTACCTTCTCCACGTTCGTGACAACTTATCTTTGTCTCAGTAGAGTATTTCAGTGGCATGTTTCAGTCCTCTTCTCCATTACTTAGAAAAAGTGAGCCACGGATTCAGGTACAAGATACTATCATTACTGTCTGAACAATCAGACATCTATTATCATCAGTAGCTACCGCTCGTTAACGGTGGGACGTGGAGTTAAAACTCGATTATATGTGAAATCTTATCCTCTCTTTCCTCACCAACCCATTTCACAAATTCCCCCCATATATATATATATATATATATATATATATATAAACCCTCTAGGTCATTACATTCATCATCCAAAATTCCCAATTCCCAATTTCCAAAATCCTATCTTTCTCTCTCTCTCAAAGAGAAAACAAAGAAAAAGCAAGCCATGGGAGTTTACCCAGAAACCCTTTTGGTAGTTCAACTCAACATGAAAGAGCCATCACAAGATGAAATATCAATGGAAGAACAACAACAAGAACAACAAGAACAAGAAGCCATAGCCAAGAGCTTCAACAAAACCAGAAGAAGAAGCAGCAATTCATTGATGAAGAAGAGAAGATCAAGATCATCAACTAGAATCGAGCAAAGAGTCAGCACATTAAGAAACCTCGTACCAAACATAAACAGCAACAACAACAACAACCATGAAGGCTGTGTCGGATCATTAGAACAGCTTTTCACTCAAACAGCTGATTACATATTGTCGCTGCAAACAAGAGTGAGATTCATGAAGAATTTGGTTGATGTCTTATCTGCTTCTTCTTCTAATGATCATGAGTGAGATTATTTCAAACACTTTTATTTTTTATTTTACTATTTAATTTTTATATATATGTATATGTGTTTCTCTAAAGATTGATATATGCGATTTTATATATATCATTCTTTTTCCTTTTTTTTTTCTTTTTTTTTTTCTTTATTCGTATTTGCATTTTTTTTTTTAATATGGGGTGGTAATTATTTAAGAGTTTCTTTTTTATTTTTCATTTGTAATATTATTGTTATATTTTTAATATTTGGGTTTGATTTTATTTTATTTTTTACTCTCAAAATTATGGACAAATTTATATTAAAATGTTTAAACTAACTCAAAAGCTAAAATAATATTAGTAAAAACTTTTATATTTTGGAGCATGATGAAATTGGGCCTCAGGCCCAATAATTGAGTTCATTTAGAAATTATTTTTATAATCCACCACGTGTCCATAGTTTTCATCATGGAATAATCAGATCAATCACAACCGTACATACAAATGATCGAAATGAAAATCTTTTAATAACATTTAAATAAAAATGGACTTGACCATAAAAAATAATTAAAAAAAAAAAAAATAGAGCATGATTTATTATCGAATGGCATGGGATATACATATGATGGAGAAGGCAAGAAATGGACCGACATTGTGATTCAAATGTGTTGCATTGTCGACTCTCTTAACGACGTGTCGGCACCTACCATTTTTAATGTGTTGAGTTTAAATTTACCTTTTCGTATAATTAATTTTAAATTAATCTTAATTTACCTTTAAAATACGACACGTGTGATTCCAGAAATTTCCTTGTCTTTAAAATTCGACTTCGATCCGAGGCGCTGACGTGTACCCGTGTACTCTAGTTAAGAAAAAAAAAAACAGATAATCTTTTTATTTAAATTTTAATTATTGAAATTAATTTTTTATTTGAATTTTAATTCTTGAAATTAATTTTCGCGTGAATTTCGCCGTTTTCTTTAATCGGCGACTGGGTCCCACATCGGCGACCTTTCGGTCCAATTCTTTTTTTTGTTTTTTTGTTTTTTTTTTGTCGCTTTAAAGAAAAATGTAATTTTCCTTTTACTTCATATTCATATTTTTCACATTCCTCTGGGATTTATTTTTAATTGTTAAAATTCAATTAATACCATGATTAGACCGTAATTTATATTAATAAATTAATTTTTAAAAATTTAAGAAATAAAATTATTATCAACCGAATTCCTCGGAAAGATGATTTGAATTCAGCCAAAATCTATCACGTTACAATGATTTTTATACATTAAAATAATAAACATAATAACACTATTTTTCATAAATATTTGAATATCTTTTATTATTAAATCCTTTTTTTTTTTTTAAAGGAAAAGATTGGGGAGACAGTGGAGCAATTTGGGGATTGAGAAAAGCAAAAAAGCAAAATAATAATAATATTTATTACGCATGCTTATAAAACGACGTCGGATTCATCATTTGGCCGAATATACTTCACGTGCGTCCAAACCCCGTCCAGACCGACCCGTTGCCTACCAAGTACGACGTTTCACACCTTCTGTTGTGTCGGCCCACGTGCTTGTTTTCCACTCCCACTGTCCGTCCGTACAAAACATTGACCTACAATTGCCGGTCACCACCACTACAAAAACAGCCTCCCTCTCCCCAATCCCCATTATTCCCAATATCCCAACCCCTCAATTCTCTCTCTAAAAGCCTTATTTCACCGGCTAGGGTTTATGGAGCTCGATTTAATTTGGTCGCAATTTGATATGTTTTCGACGTCGTCTTCCCCAATTCAAAACCCCGTTATCGATCCCGAGAATTTGGAGATTTTGAATGCATGGCTTACATCGTCCAGTCAGCTCATCAATGACGAGTTATCAGAGTTGAATTTAGAAGAGCAGAAACCTCGACAAAAAACTGTTAAATCTAACCCCTTGTTAGTGTTTTTTTTTTCTTTTTAATTCAACAATATTTAGAGGTAAATATAATCACTTTATTGATGTATTTAAAATATTAAATTTAGGTCGAAAACAAAGAAGACGAATCAAAAGAAGAAAGAGCAAGAACAACGATACATGTTCATGACGAAGAGCAAAGTTGATCATTTAGAAGATGGATATAGATGGAGAAAGTACGGGCAAAAAGTTGTAAAAAATAGCCCTTATCCTAGGTAATATCGTTGTACTCAAATTACTATTATACCCTAAATTTTATGGTGCATAGACGTTTCTAACATGTTTTTTTCTTTGTGTAGGAGTTATTATCGGTGTACTAGTGTAGCATGTAACGTAAAGAAACGAGTGGAGAGATGCTTGAAAGATCCCATAATTGTTATCACAACTTACGAAGGCCAACACACTCACTCTACCCCTGTCATGGCTCGATCAACCTTCTTTCCTCTGCCTATCTCTACCTCTCTCTACGAGGGTTCCACATCGTTCACCACCACCACTCCCCATCTCTTTCACAACCAAAACGTTCATAATTTAAATTTTGCCCGTCACCCTAATGACTTTGTGGCACCGTCATTTCATCACGAGCGATTGCCACAACACATTGCCTCCTTCAATCCACCTACTCATTTATTTGCTTCTACTACTAATTATGAGTTACTTCAAGATGTTAGTTGGTCGACATGATGTATTGTAACAACCCAAGTCCGCTACTACTAGATATTATCTGCTTTGACCCATTACGTTTCGTCATCATCTTCATGATTTTAAAACGCGTCGATTAGGTGATTTCACGAATGTTTCGTTCCCCTCTCCAACTACTATAGTTGTTTTATGTAATAATTTTTTAATAATTATTATTATGCGAACCTCAAATAATTTATTTATAACATATTTGTTTCCCCAAAAACAGAGATCTTTCTTCTAATTTATGAAACTATTTTTTAATTCAACAAAAGAATTTACTAAAAAAAAAAAACTAAATTTACTCATAAAAAAATTCAATTAATCCCCCATAAATGAAAAAAGAAAAAAAGAAAACCATTTCCGGCCCAGAAATTTACAAATGTGACCGACGATTCAGAATCAAGTTTCATGGGAGTTACCGTTTCCGTTGGCTGAAGGCGAATGCGAATGCCATCCCAGGATTGATTCAATCGTCGGTCGCCATCTCCGATGAACACAAATTCGATCATTAATTAATGATGGTCCCAAATCATTAATCCCTTGTTTTTTCTTCGATGACGCTCGTTTTGATTTTCCCACCAGATGATCGGAAGAACACCATCAAAATCGATTCGGATTTTGTCGGTCTGAGCTTCAACTTCGGTATGCTTCTACTAAATCCTTGTTTGGTTCGACTCATTTTAGGTTGTTTTGCGATTAATTTGTTCCATTTCCCGTTTGTTTGATGGGTTTCTGTTTGGTTGGATGGTCTGTTTTGTTTTCGATCATTTCTGGTCTGATGGGTTTCTTGAGACTTCGGTGGTGGTGTTGTTTGTGTATTGTTGTTTTTCTCATTTGTTTGTTTCGGCATTGCCGATGTTGTTGGAAACTTTGGTGTTGGCTCATTTCCTGTCTTGTGTAAATTTAGGAGACTGATGGGTTAGATTGTTGGGAGAGGTAACAAAACATTCCTTATATGGGTGTGGAAACCTCTTCGAGTAGATGCGTTTTAGAACTGTGAGGTTGATGGCTATGCGTAATGGGTCGAAGCCGACAATATCAATTAGCGATAGGCCTACGCTGTTCCAAATGGTATCAGAGCGGCTGACGACAATACATAACTGGCCAAAGTGGGCAATATGTAGGCTTGAGCTGTTACAAATGGTATTAGGGCTAGGCACTGAGCCTTGCCCAACGAAAGGGGAGTGGATTGTGAGATCTTTCATCTGTTGAAGAGGGAAACGAAGCATTCCTTATATGGTGTGGAAACCTCTTCCTAGTAGACGCGTTTTAAAATCGTGAGGCTAACGATAATTTGTAATGGGCCATAGCGGACAATATCTACTAGCGGTGGGCTTGAGCTGTTACAAATGGTTTCAGAGCTAGTGTGCTAGCGAGGACGTTGGGCCCTAAAGGGGAGTAGATTGTGAGATCTTACATCGGTTGGAGAGGGAAACAAAACATTCCTTATATGATGTGGAAACCTCTTCCTAGCAGACGTGTTTTAAAATCGTGAGGCTGACGACAATATGTAACAGGCTAAAATAGACAATATCTATCAGCGGTGGGCTTGGACTTGGGCGTTATACGTTTTTTCTATTTGTCATTGGTTTAAGGCCATTGCTTACAGCGATTTGGAGGAAGGAAAGTTGGATTAGATTGAATGCAGAGCTTTGATTGCAGAGTTCCTCTGTTCATTTGTGATATGGAGTGAACATTGGGTTTTATAGTTCAAAAGGCTACGAAATTGAGTGGATGGGTTTAAGAGAAGGGGATCTCACATTTGATCTGGAAAGCGGGGCGAAGATTGTTAAAGAGGAGGCTGGAAATGTGGAGCCAAGTTCAATCAAACGAGAGGTGAAGAACATTTTTTGGGGTAGGTTGACAGAGGATACACTGCCACGAGACGAACGAGCTGCAGCCTCGAGCAGTTACGTTGCCAATATCATCCGTGATGCGAACATAAAATTGTTGATAAATAAGAATTTGAAAGGAGAAGAGGGTCGTCAGAAAAAGGCTCCGAAGCCACCTCGGCCGCCCAAGGGACCTTCACTCGACGCTGCTGACCAAATGCTGGTGAAGGAATTCGCTGAGCTTGCCATGAAAAAACGATCGAGAATCGAGCGAATGAAAGCATTGAAGAAGGCAAAAGCTGAGAAAACATCTTCTTGCAATACTTACATACCAGCTTTGGTTATCACATTCCTCTTCTTCCTTGTAGTAATCATTCAAGGTAAGCAAGCCTTGCTTGATCTTGAAACTACGAACCACTTCGATGTCCTTATGTTTTTAAGGATGTTTTGTTCGTGTTTGTCTACAGGTATAAGCTCCAGAAGCAGTTCATTGTTCCAGGGGTCGCCCAAACCGGCCGTTGGTGGTAGTAGCGGTTTCGTTTTGGTTCAGTACATTATGAACTTTCCCAGAAATGAAAGCTACATACCCAATTCCACCACCTCTGTTAAGTGAGTACTTGTTGTTGATGCAGCCCTGCTGCATAGCTCGTGTCTGATTTTGTTCCTCTAGACAAGGCCGGCATGGTGGCTCCTATGGCCTTCATTTTTTAGTACTACACTTTTGTGTCTTTTCAAGAAACATCCCATTTTTGTAATCAAACCCTTTTATATTTTGATTTTATGTTGATGAGTTGAATTATGAACGTTTTCCCTCTCGGTTTCGATACCGAACCGGCAGAATTATGATGATCTGGTTTGCCGATGCTTACTGAGGAACAAACAGGTACGCCTACCGTCCAAATGATTCTTAGATTTGTAGAATTTACGGGCTTACGTCGAAATGATTCTTAGATTTCAAGACGATGAAACAATGAAAGCTTCCTTTGATCTTCTATCTTTGGTTGCAGTCAATCTCATTAGAGATAACTTGTATGAAAATATCTCATGGAGTTCTCTGCATTTTGAGCCGTGTGGTCGATTCTTGTCGTGCGACCGACATGACACGAAAAAGGGTATTGTCGAGATCATCTTTAAAGAGATGTTAGCGAATGACGGAGAAATTCTAGCTCATATAGAGCTTTGTTGCCCTGACTGATCGATCCTGCAATGAAGGAATGTCTAGCTGCCCATGACGACGTGTTGTATTGACATGTAACCAATTCAATGATCCTGAGTGTGATGTAACCTTTTTGGTTAAAGGAGTATAAGATTGCGACTTGTTATGCCATGTATGTGACATGGGAGGGTCGAAGGGGCATTTGGGTGGCGGCATCATGAATCTTGAAACGTTGCTAGGAGCTTTTAAGTTGGAACTAAAAGCTGGTGCGTTAAGCAATATTTGAGATTTTCATGAGTTTCTTTTTTTTAAAATTTCACTCTATTCATATCAAGTCGTATATATGAACATGTCTCCCGAGACAACAATGCAACATTCATGCTGTGATTGGGCTGGTTTTGCTACTTCATAAGAATGTTTTGAGATCTCTAGAGCATTGTTCTTTCTCGAGCTCTCGTTCAATTTCATACTCCCGAAAGAAAAAAAAATGTCTTTGTTAGTTTGACAGCAAGTTAATATGGTGAAGGTACGAAAAGGTAGGAAGGAACCTATCATAAGAAAGACGTTATCGCTTTTAATTTTTTAATTAATTTAAATTGTGTTATAAGAAATTAAACCGATGCAGTTTTTTGATTCAAGATTACGTTGTAGAATTATTTAATCAAATAAAATATTTTTGTTGTAGTAAAAGTTGAATCGTTATTATACGTATATATGTATATATGTATTATATATGCCTTGCTTGGTGCACGAGTGGAAAGTCAAATGAATGCCTTATGCAATACAATATGAAAGGGGTTCTAACTTTACCGGCCGAAAATCAGAGAAGAGGTCTTGAAGATTTCATGGATCCCATGGCTGATTGTGATTTGGTTGACCTACCACTCTATGACGCTTCTTTCCCTTGGTCTAACATGAGAAAAGGGAAGGAAATGGAAATCCGATGCAGACTGGATCTTTACTAATCGACTCGGATTGGGAAGACCTTCTGCAGGACACTATTCAAAAAGTGGGGACCACATTTACTTACGATGATGACCTCTTTCTATTTCGAACAACTTCCCTCCACATATATACATATATATATGTATATATGAATGTATATGTATGTATATATGAATGTATATGTATGTATATGTATATAGTTCATGATTCATAAATAAATGTAATAAAAGTCCTGATTAAATGAATTGTATACAAATTTGTAGTTCCTTATTAATTGATACCAACCCCATTAAGATTTGGTATCTAATAATTTTGATAGATTCATAGCTCAATATACATGAATATATATGAATATACATAAACATGGGTACACAGTTTGTGACAATAATCGCTATCTTATGATATCAATGATCGAAAAATAAAAACATGTTTAAAAATTAATAAACAAATATTTCAATTCAAATATCTATTTTTTTAAAAAAAGATATCTTTATCGATTTTAAATAGTATCGTGAAAATGTCGATGTTGAATTGAGATAAAGTGGAACGTGATATGTCGAGGAGAATTTAATATTATAAATCTATTAAATAACTTTTTTATCGACTGAAATTTAAAAAATTAAAGTAGTTTATCCATAATAGGAGTAAAAAAGTTGAAACTCAAACCCCTTTTGGGTATGTCTATAAAGTTGAAAACTAACATCGACCCATCGTATTAATTTATCAAAATTTGAAACACAACCAAGGAATCGTCTTACTGCAAACATCAATCGAAATTGACCAAAGTCGAATTGGTCTCGATGTATTCAAACTTTTTGAAAGTGCACGAAACCGAACCAATTGCAACTACCCGTCACCGGTGTACTTTCCTAGCAATATGCTCCCAATGAAGAAAGAGTCAGCGGCAGCTTTTCTAAGCTCTTATGGTATCCATATGTCCCTCTGAGATGTCCCACTACTACGTAGTCAAATTCATTAACATTGATTGCAACTACCCTACCTCTCTTATTTCTTAACCTCAATTTAAATTTCAAAACTATGGGTTTAGGGTCGGAAGAATACCAAATGTGACCCGTTTCTTCATACATTCATTTAGGCATGACTAAGAATACGTAGATTCAAAGAACTTGAATAGAGATTTCTTCATTTTGTGAAACACCTTTCGAGATTCTTAGTCAAGCCTCAACACCTCATTAAAGAAGATCGGAGTCGTGAACAGTAAAAGCAGCGCCTCAATTGTTGATTAACTAAGATCAAGGGAGAGGGTTCCGATCTATATGACCTTCAGGCGGTACAAAGTCAACCTCTTCTAGCTCTAGGAGAGTATTCCATGATTCTAAAATGGGGTTTGCAGCTAAAATAGTGAGACTGACAGCAATACGTAACGAGTCGAAGTGGACAATATCTACCATCTGGGGTTGGACCGTTACAAGGTTAATATTATTAATTGCAGCGGAACATAGTCCAATCTTTGAAATAGAGTTTAGTCTCTCCATAGCCGTACACTAGTAGAAGACGTAGGTTATGATTTGATCCATTCGAGTCAAAACACGAGAGTTTTTTTTGTCCCCTTTCATATCAAGTCAAGCATGTCTATTGCTCAACGAGTTTACAGTTTGACCCCATTTTCCATTTGAGCATTGACCCGAGAAGAATCAATGTCAAACTTAGCGATAGTCCATGATCAATTTCCTTTTGTACAGTTACCTCGAGAGAGATGTCTTGAACCACTAAATGATCGACCTACTTGCCCGACAGCCATATCATAGTGTGAATGGTTTTCTTTTAATTAGTATGATTTTTCCATTGGCGATTTTTTACTCTTAGCGAAGAATTTGACTAAAAATAGTCAAACTACGTGTGACATTAATTGGTCATAGAAAAAACAGACCAAGTAAAAGGCTGGCTCTTGTTAAGAACCAGCAACAACAATGGCAGAAACGTAAATAAAGCCTCGACCAAGGGCAATTACAAGTAAAGAGCCCTATAAATACACCATTCTCAGTCCATTTTCATTCAGAAAACCATGGCATTATCCAATTCCTTCTTCTTCCTCGAAGCTCTCTCCCTCTTTTTCCACAAAATTTTCTCCAAAAAGCTCCGACTTTCCACTTCCGCCGTTCACCGGAAGTACCAAAACCACCAATCTCCCGCGAAACTCCCCGTCGCCGGCGACGACAAAGTTCTAATCTTTAACGTGGAGGAGGCTCTACTAAAACCCACATCGCCATTTTTCTTCTCTTATTTCATGTTGGTGGCTTTTGAAGCTGGTGGGTTACTCCGAGCAACAGCTCTTTTGATGTCGTACCCATTGGTCCGACTTGTCGGCCAGGAAATGGGGTTGAAGATTATGGTTATGATATCATTTTTTGGGGTTAAAAAAGAGAGCTTTAGAATTGGGTCTTCTGTTTTGCCTAAATTCTTCCTAAACGACGTCGGATTGGAGGCCTTTGAGGCATTGAAAAGGGGAGGGACAAGAATTGGGTTCACTAATGTTTTCCCACAAGTCATGATTGAGAGCTTTTTGAGAGATTATTTGGAGATTGAAATGGTTGTTGGAAGAGATTTGAAGGTTTTTTGTGGTTATTTTGTGGGTTTGATGGATGAAAAAGTGAAGCTTTGTTCATTATCTCATTTGATTGATGAACAACAAGAGAGCTATGGGTCTCAAAAGAAGGGCAATTTGATTGGGATTTGTGGGTCTCAAAAGAGCTATCATTTTCAGCTTCTCTCCTCCATTTGCAATGTAAGTACTTTTCAAACCCTAATCGAACGATATTGGGATGATCGGATTCAAATTTTTAATTTTTTAATTAGTCGAGCGAAACCCGTTTTAGCAAAACTTCTTTTGAACTTTTGATTATGTTCGTTGAACTCCTAAGATGAATTGTGAGATCTCACATCGATAGGAGAATGACACATTTCTTATTATAAGGGTGTGATGTCCCCCATTGGTTGGGAGGAGAACAAACCATCATTTATAAGGGGTAGAAACCATCCACTAGCATACCCATTTTAAAGCCTTGAGGAGGGTGTAGAAACCTTCGCGTTTTAAAGCCTTGAGGGAAACCCGAAATGGAAAGCGCAAAGAAGACAATATTTGCTAGCTATGATTTGGGTTATGACGTGAAAAGATTTAAATTTTTTATTTTTTAATTAAAAAAAAATCGCTTGAATTATTATATCTATTTAAATAGTTATATTGAATAAAACAAATATTTTGGAATGATTTTTTTGTTTATATGTTCCAATTATTTTTCATCATTTTATGTATTAATATTAAATGTATAAGGTAGTTTATTGGTGAAAGGATGGAGTATATATCATATCGTTCTTATCATATAATAAATAATTTAGGTATGCGTTTACATCTTAAAGTTATATCAATGTCCAAAAAGTATTTCTGTTCACAAGGTTTTGTCTTAAAGTTATATGAACCATTAATTAACGTTTACTCGTGTAATTTAGACGTGAAATCATTAATAATAAAAATTAATATTCATAAATAAATTTAATTTTTAAAAACTGACAAATGGTTGTTGTGAACAGGAAATCTATGTGGTAAGTGAAGTCGAGAGGAAGAGATGGAAGAGACTCCCTAGGGACAAATTTCCGAAGCCATTGGTGTTCCATGATGGAAGGCTTGCTCTAAACCCGACTCCATTGAACACTCTTGCCCTTTTCATGTGGCTCCCTTTTGCCCTGATTCTTGTTCTCGTTAGAATCTTTGTTTCTGTCCTTTTGC